GTACTAGGACCTGGCTGGCCAAGAGTGCCAGGACCTTAAAGGTGGAATGCAAATCTGCCAAGACCTTGTAAATGAAACGCACCACAACCGAGACCTTGTCCGTGGGCGCACCGCTGCCAGGACCTACCCCGCGGGAGGCCCAAAGCTGCCAGGACCTGAGAGGGTGGAGCGCACGGCTGCCAGGACTCCGCCCCGCGCGCGCGCGTCCCCGGCACTGGCGTCGTAGTTGTCGTCGTCCCGGTCCTCGTTGTCCACGCCAGCTCTCGGCCGTCCGCCGGGCGCCACCGGCCCTCTACACCCGCGCCCTCGCGGGCCCCTCCGCCCGCAGCCCTGGCGCTCCCCGCTGGCCCCGCCGAGGCCGCCTGTGCCCTGTGCCAGCGCGCGCCCCGGGAGCCAGTGCGCGCCGACTGCGGCCACCGCTTCTGCCGGGCGTGCGTGGTGCGCTTCTGGGCCGAGGAAGACGGGCCCTTCCCGTGCCCCGAGTGCACCGACGACTGCTGGCAGCGGGCAGTGGAGCCCAGCCGCCCTCCGCTCAGCCGCCGCCTGCTGGCGCTCGAGGAGGCGGCTGCGGCGCCCGCGCGTGACGGGCCAGCCAGCGAGGCCGCGCTGCAGCTGCTGTGCCGTGCGGACGCCGGGCCGCTGTGCGCCGCCTGCCGCATGGCCTCTGGCCCCGAGCCGCCGGAGTGGGAGCCGCGTTGGAGGAAGGCCCTGCGTGGCAAGGTGCGCGGGGAACCCTGGGAGGGTAGTTCTGTGCCCAGCCCACCCCACCGTGTCATTTCCCTTCCCACAGACCTGTCCCTTCTCTATCTCCGTTGTTCCCTCCCCTAGGGAGCTGCGCTGGGTCGTTCCACCGCCCGCCTCTCAGAGGCTTTTTCCCGTCCCATCACCTATGTCCCTCGGAGTCACATCTTCCCCGCTACAGGTCGCGTTCTTTCTGCCCTCTCCCCGTATCCTCTTGTTCCCCACCCCCGGTGTATCCTCCTCCAGCTTCCACAAGTTGGCTCCTCCCCCTCACTGGTCCCTGGGTGTGACGTCACTTGCTGGCCCAGCCCCCACCCCTTCGGGGTACAGGTGGCGCCCCGAGTGAAGTTGTGTCTGCAGACAATGGTGTCAGCCCCTGTAGTCCAGCATGTGTCCACCAGCCTGGTCCACCTTCTTGCCCACTCTCTGAGCCACCACTCATGGGGCACCTGGCTGCACTCTGGGTCTCCTCACTCATTCCCTTCTGCCCATCCCCTTCTGAAATCTTCCCTGCTATTCTCTTTGCCATGGGGCAGGAACTTGCCTTTGACATTGTTATTTCTGAGAGAACAGTCAGGTCCCTGGATACCCAGACAATGGCACCTGCACCCTGCGCGCTGGCAGAAAAGCCAGTGCCACGTGCTGTGACCCCTTCCCCATGTTCTGGGAATAGCAAGTGCACTTTGGGGTCGACCAGAGAGGTGGGGTTCAGTGGATGGGTTTCCACTAGATTCCAGAGCAAGTGCCCAGCTGGACTGTGTCAGTGGGCTCTCTTGTCTTCAGGGCTCCTGTTACTAGCAGAGCAACCACATCCCAATTAGAAAGGATGCACAGAAGACCATGCAGGCCTTTGGTACAGGACTGAACTCACCGCAAACAGGCCCACTTAGGAGCACAGAATTCCAGAACCCACCAAATGGCAGCTTTAGCCCTGGCACCCAGTACCATGAGAAACCTTTTAATTGGGTACACATTGCTGTCTGTAGACCAAAGAACATGAGTTTTGGGTTGTTTCTGGGACAGCTGTTAGTGCAGTCAGCTTGTGTGATGTCCCTCTGGGTGTGGTGGCCCGGGGACCCAGATCTTCTGCCCACTCTCAGTTATCAACCTCTCTCACCAGGAGAACAAGGGATCTGTGGAAATCATGAAAAAAGACTTGAATGATGCCCGGGACCTACATGGCCAGGCAGAGTCAGCGGCTGCTGTGTGGAAGGCAAGTCAGGGGCCTGTGGCAGCCTCTGGGTCTGGGTGAACTCAGGGATTGGGGGTCTCAGGGCTGTAGACAAAGGGCCAGGTTACTCAACTGCAGGGCTGGTTGATTGTGGGAGGAACCATTAGACTTTAATGAGCTCCAGGGTAGTTTTCTAGGGTATATTTGTATTTCCCAAATAGAATCTGGCAAAAGTGGAGCGGGGTCCTCTTTTTCTCCCCACATTTGTAGGTATTTGCTTCATCCAACTTTGTTTTATTCAAACACATTTGTAACTCTTTTTGTGGTACTCTTGGTTCTAACCTGAGAGCTCTCTGCTATGTCCCAGAAGAACCATTTGTGTGCCCAGAGGACTTGCTAAGTGTCTTAGTAAGTTTGGGCACATGTAAAAAAATACCAAAGTTGGGGTAGGTGAGACTGTAGAAATTTATTGCTCATAGTTCTGGAGCCTGGAAGTACATGATTAGGGCCTTGGCAGATTTGGTGTCTGGTGAGGGTCTGTTTCCTGCTTCATAGGTGGCGGCTTCTCACTGTGTCCTCACATGGCAAAAAAGACAGGGTCTCTCTGGGGTCCCTGATGTAATCACCTCCCCAAGACCCCACCTCCTAATACCATCACCTGGGGAATAAAAAGATGACATCATGGGAATTGTAAGGGGAAGGGAGTACACAAACATTCCTCCTATAGGAGAATTACTTTCCTCAAGATGACACCACATATAAAAACTATGCTTAGACTGTCCTTGGTGACTTTTTCTTCATGTATAGTGAATCTGTACTAGTTTCTTCAGGTTTCATAAAGCCCCTAAACTTTTTTTTTGAGACAGAGTCACACTTTATCACCCTTGGTAGAGTGCTGTGCTGTCACAGCTCACAGCAACTTCCAGCTCTTGGGCTTGGGCGATTCTCTTGCCTCAGCCTCCTAAGTAGCTGGGACTATAGGTGCCAGCCACAACACCTGGCTATTTTTTGTTGCAGTTTGGCCAGTTGTCTGGCTAAAACCCACTACCCTTGATATATGGGGCCGGTGCCCTTTCCACTGTGCCAGAGGTGCTGCCTTCTTTTTTTTTTTTTAAATCATATGAGAACAGTGGACTTTTAAAAACTATAGAAGCTCTCAGATTGTGGGCCTGCACCTTGAGGACAAGGCACTGGTCCTGTCACATGTTGGGGCTCTTTGTGTTCTGGGTCCAGCTCAGCTTTTGCCCACTCCACAGAGTTCTGAGATACAAGCTTCCCTCAGTGACAAGAGAGGTGACGAATTGGGTCCACAATGCCACTTGGAGCCCTAGCAGCCTATGCTGCCCTTGGGGACTGCTTTTAACTTTTTGCTTGTAAGAGTGGTGCAAAGCATGGTGTGCAGGTGACCCTGGGAGGTTTTAGAGACCTCTCATTTTTCATTAACCCTGTGTTACCTCAAAGGACTTTGTTTTGGCTTTAGATTTTAGCAGATCGGGGCTTTAAATTGGACTTGTTTTGGGGGGGATGGTGGCAGCATAGATGCTAAGAAGACAGAAGCCTTCTAAGAAGTGAATGGCGAGCCATCTCAGCCAACAGTAAGTACCGGGCAGTCATATGAATTCTCTGTCAGAAACAAAACTGTCAGCCTCTTGTGACCACCTGCACAGCGTAGCCCAGCACCAATAAGAGTAAAGTCAGAGTAGCATCTTGCTGTATTCTCCTATTTGCAAGGTCAGGCATTGGTTGAAGACTATCCAAAGAATGGCACATGTGAAGGTTCCAGTTTTAGTTGAAGGCTGATGGAATGGTTTTCAGCCCTTACAGTTCCCGTGAGGGTGTGGCAGGGATGGTCACTACAATAGTGGGTGTATATTCTGTCAAGTGCCTGGAGAGGCCTGTAGACTCAGCAGAGACACTGAGGGAAGTGCCTTCCCCTGGGCTACTGGCAGATAGAGGGTCTTTGTGTATAACTAAGCATGTTAACAGCATAAGGAGATAGAACTCTACCTCTCCCCTCTGAGGGTCCCTGGCTGGGCTTCAAAATTCAGTTGAAACAAGATAGATTAACAAGAAAAAAACATATGGATTTATAGAACCCAAGTTCTGCATAGCATGAGTGCTCTCATAAAGAAATGAGAACCCAGCTTGGTGCCCATAGCACTGTGGTTATGGTGCCAGGCACATACACCAAGGGTGGCAGGTTTGAACCCGGCCTAGGCCAGCTAAACAACGATGACAACTGCAACAAAAAATAGCCGGGCACCTGTAGTCCCAGCTGCTTGGGAGGCTAAGGCAATAAAATCACTTAAGCCCAAGTGTTTGAGGTTGTTGTGATCTGTGATGCCATGGCAGTCTACCAAGGGTGACATACTGAGACACTGTCTCAAAAAAAAAAAGGACGAAAAAGAAATGAGAACCCGTGGCTCAGTGCCTGTAGCTCAGTGGCTAGGGTAGCAGCCACATACATTGGAGCTGGCAGGTTTGAATCCAGACTGGGCCTGCCAAACAACAATGACAGTTCCAACTAAAAAATAGCCAGGTGTTATGGCAGGTGTCTGTAGTCCAGCTACTTGGGAGGCTGAGGCAAGAGAATTACTTAAGCCCAAGAGTTTAAGGTTGCTGTGAGCTGTGACACCACAGCATTCTACCAAGGTCAACATAATGAGACTGTCTTAAAAAAAAAAAAAAAAAGAGAACCTAGAAAAGCAGTTAGAATCAAATGGTATGTACTGAGTTGGATAAAGACTAGTGAACGTTATAAAAAACCAACTAGATTATGTTGGGAGGCTTAAAAGATAAGGGTTATTTTAACTAAGTCTATACCCAATTTTATCAGCCTCAACTTCCTGGTGTCCTTGATGAGAATATCATTTCTCTTGGTACAGGGAGGACATCTTTCAGGGGATTTCTTTTTCGTTGTTGTTTTTTTGGTCTATAGAGTCCAGCCCAGGCTGGAATGCATAGGTGTGATCATAGCTCACTGCAGCCTCCAGTTACTAGGCTCAAGTGACCTTGCTTCAGCCTACTGAGTAGCTAGTACTACAGACACACACTGTCATGTTAAACTAATTTTTTCTTATCTTTTTTAGAGATGGGGTCTTGCTATACTGCCCATCCTGGTCTTGAACTTTTTTTTTTTTTTGAGACAGAGCCTCAAGCTGTCCCCCTGGGCAGAGTGCCGTGGCATCACAGCTCACAGCAACCTCCAATTCCTGGGCTCAAGCGAGTCTCCTGCCTCCGCCTCCCAAGTAGCTGGGACCACAGGCGCCCGCCACAACGTCCGGCTATTTCTTGGTTGCAGCCGTCATTGTTGTTTGGCGGGTCCGGGCTGGGGATTCGAACCTGCCACCTTAGGTGTACGTGGCTGGCGCCTTAGCTGGTTGAGCTATAGGCACTGAGCCCTGGTCTTGAACTTTTGGCCTCAAGTGATCCTCTTGATTTCAGCCTCCCAAAGTGCTGGGATTATAATGGGGTTATAGGCATGAGCCTCCACACCCATCCTACATGGGAATTTCACCTGCTTTTAAGAAGCACAATGAACATTGGTGTTATCTTGCAGCTGCTGCTATTCTTGTTTTTAATTCAAAATAAGTTGATATGCCAGAGCAGCATGTCTTGGGGTGACATATTCTCAACTCCTTTTCCTCCAGGAGTGGGAGGTGGTTTGTGGAGAGGGTGGCCCCTGGTGCCCACTGGGGACCCAAAGACAGATGTGTCCTTTCCTGCTGCCTGCCTATCCCATAGGGACATGTGATGGACCGCAGGAAGAAGGCCCTGACTGACTACAAGAAGCTTCGGGCCTTCTTTGCTGAAGAGGAGGAGTACTTCCTGCAGGAGGCTGCGAAAGAGGAGGGGCTCCCAGAGGATGAGCTGGCCGACCCTGCTGAGCGGTTCGGGTCCCTGCTTCAGGCGGTGTCGGAGTTGGAGAGGAAGCACCGCAACCTGGGCCTGAGCATGCTGCTGCAGGTGCGGGGAGGGCAGTATGGGGAGGGCGATGGTGGGGGAGCAGATCCAAGGCACAGCGGGGAGCCCATGTAAGGGGTAATTTAGCAGAAGTCCAGTCTTAGAAGCACAGACTGACTCCCTATGCTGTGGCCTCATGGGGCTGATGGGGCATGGAAAATGACATGAGGGGGTAGCTACATCCCAAGTGCCAGAACCTAGAGAACCACTGCCCAACTCCAGAGCTCTTGAGAGCAGCCTCAGCCAGGAAATCCTCTGCATGGGCCTCTGGTCCCTGGGTACCAGGGGACCAGAGGGTACTTGGGTACTAGGTTTGGGCACCCCCAAACCTCAAGGCCTGCAGCGAACCACTCTGGGCATTTTGCACCTGGGGCTGTGATCCTGGGATCAGCAGCTTCCAGGCTAGGCAACTTCCCAGGCACTGGTGGCAACTGTAAGTGGCAAGGTTTTGACCTTGGGGAGATGAAGGTCAGGGGCTCAGTATAGGTGGGGGCCTACTATCTCCTAGGTCTGGGTTTGTCTGAGATAGTGGAGATATCTGTCTTTCTCTGTGTCTCTTTTTTTTTCTGTCTCTGTGTCTATCTGTATCTCTTATCTATCTCTTTTTCTCCCCATCTCTTTCTTTCTGTATCTCTGTCTTTCTCTTTTTCTATCTCTCTCTGTCTCTGCCTCTGCCTCTATCTTTTTCTTTTTCTGTTCCTGTCTCTCTGTATCTCTCTCTCTCTGTCTCTGTGCCTCTGGCACTATCTCTGTCTTTACTTCTGTCTCTCTATCCTTTTCTGTCTCCCTCTCTTTGTCTCTGTTTCTGTCTCTTTGTCTCTCTGTATCTCTTTGTCTCTGTTTCTCTTTCTCATCTTTTCCTTTTTGTTTGTCTCTGTCTCTGCGTATCTCTGTGTCTCTCTGTCTTTTTGTCTCTGTTTCCTTGTTTTTTTCTCTCTCTCTGTCTCTCACTCTGTTTCTGTCTCTTTCCCTCTCCCCTCCTGTGCAGTGATGGCGCAGACCCTGCAGGGTCCCCTGGAGCCCAAGGCAGAGGGGACGATCCTCACCTCCGCGGGAACCGTTAGCTGTAGACTGGAGAGGCATCTCCAGTGCCCCCCCGCCCCTGTTGTTCTGGATCATTACATGTTTCAACACAGTGTTCCTTTTCCCGTCTCCTTGAGGCATGGATGTTTCTGGGGCTGAAGAAATTTCCACTAGTGGATAGTCACTCCCCTACCTGTATCTGGGCCCTGAGGCCTATACCTTCCTCCCATGTCACCTAATGGCCTCAGTGCCTATACATGGGGACCTTGCTTTGGTGTCAAGGGACCCAAACGCCACACCCTGAAAACATGCCCTGGAGGGAGCTCTTCCTCAGCCACGCATCCCCAGGCAGAGCCCTGAGGAACACTAGTGGGGGTCCCTTTGGGGGTTAGTGTCCAAGAGAGGGAGTCACAGGGCCCTGGGATATACTTGCAACCCAACTCCTCAGGGAAGAGAAAGAAAATGCAGCACACTTGCTGCCCCCTGGACAGAGGATCCCTCCAGCCCTTGGGGTGGGTATGGGTCTACACAGCTGCCCCAAAACCCTCTTTGCGCTCCATCCTTCTTCTCTTGCAGGGTCCCCCTTTCCTGCAGGGGTCCCCAGGCCCTGCCATGGGATTTCATCTAGTTGTACTTAGGCTTGTTCTTTGTATTTCCTCTGGTAGATGAATCTTATACAAAACTCGTGACGTAGCAGTAGCACAGTTGCCTGCAGCATCTTCATGTGTAGATTAATTAGTCCAGTTCACAAAAACTCAGCACAGGGTAGACAGAAACACAGGTCGGGGAATATAGATGTGGGCAGACATTTAGATTTGGGCGTGTTCGGGGACAACTGGGACACAGGTTTCTCAGCCCTTGGGTTTCCCAGCCCTCAGAAGTCCCTAGCCTTGGTGCAATAGCTGTGAGCCTGAGCTGCCTGGCATGTGGGCTAGGCTCTCAATGCCAAATAAAGTGGGTTTGCTACAGCCTATGTGTGATCTTCATCTCTCTGTGTGTCTATGGGGCCTCTTCCCTCTGCCCCACCAGTTTCCAGTGTTAAAGGAAAAATTATTCAGTGGGCATCGTGGCTCATGCCTATAATCTTAGTACTTGGGGAGGTTGAGGAAAGGAGGATTGCTTGAGGCTGGGAGTTCAAGACCAGCCTGAGCAGCATAGTGACCCCATCTGTACATAAAATAGAAAAAAATTAGCTGGGTATGGTGGTGGGCACCTGTAGTTCCAGCTACTCAGGAGGCTAAGGTAGGAGGATTGCTTGAGCTCAGGAGTTTGAGGTTGCAGAGAGCTGTGATGACACCACTGCACTCTAACTGAGGAGACAGAACACACCCTACCTCAAAAAAATAAAATAAAATTATCCCATGAACCTTGTTCAAGTTGGCAGGTTGGACTTAATCAGGACCATCTTCACAGGTGCAAGGCCTATGGCCACGGGGCCATGCAGTGGGGCAGAGGGACTGGGCTCAACCCAGACACAGTGTGGGAGGCAGGTATGTATAACCAATGGGCACAGTGGGTTCTGTGGGTGGAAGGTTCCTGAGCTGAGACATGGGGCACCAGGGATTCTGGCTGAATCGACTACAACCCTTGCCGCAGGCCACGGCAGTATCCTGATGTTTCCTGAGAGAGGGAGCAGGATGAAAAACCATCTAGGATGGTCAGGTCCTGAGGGTGGGGGGTTCTGGAGAACTGAGTCTGCAGGGCTGTTGCTAAAATTGGATTTTACAAAGAAGGGCACAGATGGGCCCGAGGGAGGGAGTTCACGAGCCTTGCCACAGTTTGGCCAAACACAGTCTTTGTCAGCACCTTGGCAATTTACCAGCCTTCAGACCTCCCATCCACCCCTCGTGCCATCTCCCTGCCCTCGTGACAAGCCCATGCTTTGCATTCTTATGATGCTCCCTGGCTACATCCTGAGGACACCCAAACAGATCATCCCATGACACTAAACTGTCTTTGTTTCACCAAATGCAGCAGTGGCTTCACGATCCTCACAGAACCAAACTGGTTAGCAACAAACATCCCACCCAGTCAACTGCAAGCTCCTTTTGTAAAAAAACAAAGACCATTTATATTTATGGGATGCAATGTGATGTTCTGAGATTTTATATCTATATAATTGAGATATATATACACATATACACATCTCAAACTAATTAACATACCCAACACCTCATATACTCATTTTTAATGATGAGAATATTGGAAAGCTACTCTTCTAGCAATTCCAAGAACAGTTGTTCCTCTGTGTCCAAGGATTGGTTCTAGAACCCTCTCGGGCACCAAAATCCCTACTAGATGCTCCAGTTACTTAAAACTGGCTCTTGTCCACACATGCATACAGAGCACCAACTGTATACAATATATTGTTATCAACTGTAGTTACCATGTTGTACAACAATCTCTTGTAATGGAAACTGTATCCTTTGACTTACATCTTCTCAGTTCCCTTCCCTAGTGATACATATATCACCATTCTACTCTGTTGTTTCTATGTGAGTCAACTTCTTAGATTCCACATGTAAGTGAGATCCTATTTGTCTTTCTGGGTCTGACTTAGTTCACTTAACATAAGGTCTTCAGTTTCATCCATGTTGTTGTAAATGGCAGGGCTTCCTTCTCCTTTGTAGCCAAATGGCATTCCATTGTGTATGTACGACATTTCCTATATCTATTGTCTGTGGATGGACACTTAGGTTGATTCCATATCTTGGCTATTGTGAGTAGTGCTGTAGTGGACATGGGAGTGCAGCTATCTCTTTGACTTACTGATTTCATTTCCTTTGGATAAATACCTAGTAGTGGGATTGCTGGATCATACAGTAGCTCTGTTTTGAATTGTTTGAGGAACCACCATACCATTTTCCATAATGGCTATACTAATTGGCATTCCTGTCAACTGTGCATGTGTACGGTTCTCCTGTCCCCCCATCCTCACCAGTACCTATTATCTTTTTGCTAGCAGTCATTCTGACATAGTGAGATGCTATCATTGTGATTTTGATTTGCATTTCCCTGCTAATTGGTGATGTTGGACATTTTTTTTTATATGTATATGTATCTGTTGGACGTGTGTAGGTCTTCTTTTGAGAAATGTCTGTTGAGGCCCTTTGCCCCTTTTTTAATCCTGTTATTTGCTTTCCTGCTATTGAGTGGAGTTCCTTATCTATTTTGGATATTAACTGCCTGTCCAATGTACATTTTGCATATATTCTCTCCTAATCTGTGGGTTGTCTCTTCACTCTGTTGATTATTTCTTTGCTGTATAGAAGCTTTTGTAGCTTGATGCAATTCTATTTGTTTATTTTTGGTGTCATCAGAACTCAGTGTGGCTTTGAACTCCTGGGCTCAAGCAGTCCTCCTATCTCAACCTTCTGAGTAGCTGGAACTACAGCTGTGTGCCTCCCCACCGGGCTAATTTTGGAATTTTTTATAGAAATGGTGTCTTGCAAAACTGCTCAGGCTGGTCTCGAATTCCTGGCCTCAAGCAATCCTTCTGCTTTGGCCACCACCACTGGCCAATTTTTGCTTTTACTGTTTGTGCTTTTGGGGTCATATCCAAGCAGTCAGTGCCCAGACCAACACCAAAGAGTTGTTCTCCTATATTTTCTTCCACTGGTTTTACAATCGCAGGTCTGAGGTTTAAGTCCTTATCCATTTCCAGCTGACTTTTGTGTATGGGACCCTTCCTTGATAGACTGTCTTCCCCAATCCCTAGGACACCCACTGGTTTTGAGTTTTCTCTGGCCTTTTTGATACCTCTCAGTCTCTTTTACAGACTCTGCCATCTTCATGTGGAAGGACCCCTTGCATCACTGGTAGGTCCTTCCTGTCCTGCACACACCTGCTGCATGGCCGTGTGCATTCTCTGGTCTCACACTTACCTTTCCAGTGTGAGTCTCTCTCCCAAACTCTTACTTGAAGTCTGCCTGCCTCCTGCACAATGCCTGTGGATGTCCATCTCAGACTCCCTTGGTCCAAAACTAAGGGACTGACCCCTGCAATTCCTAGGCAGGTGTCTGGGAGTCATCTCTGTGCCCTACTTTCTTTGAATAGACTTAGCAGGTCTGTGAGGGAACAAAGATAGCTTTTCCTCCAGACACAGACTAGACATTGTCTTACCTGCCACCCAGCCAGGGTCTACAACACTGCTGTACACCCAGGAGCCAGGAACCTCACCCCAGCCCCCATATCCTAACAATTCACCCTCAGCTGGTAGAGAGATTTCCTTTTAAAAATATGTAGAATAGGCTCGGCGCCTGTGGCTCAAGTGGCTAAGGTGCCAGCCACATACACCTAAGGTGG